TATATATACCTTTTTCAAATTTGCCTTCCGATACAAGCAATGGATATATTCGCCCAGCTTGTTTTTGGTGGTAACAATGTTAAGCTTTACACTTTGTGCATATAGCTATAAACTATCAACAGTTCAGCAGAATAGTGTTTTTTAATAGACAATCAAATTTGTCTTCGATCTAAGTGTCGAATTTACGGGCAGTACCGAAGCCATTGTACTTTGCCTTCCAATTACAGGAATGGTTGTCTTCCACACCGAAACACGTGCTCCTATATGAGGCGCTAAATTGGAATCCACCAAGCTTTGTCCATTTGCCATTGCTGCTTTCAAGGTAAGTCATACAGTTGTCTGTTTTTTTTCTGAAAAGGCAGTTAAAAAGATTGTCGGACCTGTTCACCGAGTCAATTTGTGAAATTCCGACCAAAATCTCCTTTTTTTTGGGGGGGGGGGAATGTTTTTTCGTGGTTAGTGTTCACAGGTTAGCTCATCCGGACCATAAGGGGAATCACAAGTTTGATTTCGTCCACCACACCGCCTTTTCCTTCACTTTATAGTACCGGTGGAAAGCTGTCTAAACGCAGTCCAGAATTTGCCCTGGTCGGACATGTGCATAGTTTGATCAGGAAAGGTTATCTACCGTCAGCTGTACTTACTTGGCTCGCTTCTGTCGGTACACGATCCAGTCAGCATTCCCCCGATGACAGTCATCAAGAATATGAACGATGGAATCCGCAACTTCAGATGCCCGATTTGGTTTCACGTGTGAGTGCCATCAGTACTGTTCTTCCATAACTGAGTCTATTGATCGTGTTTTGAGTCTATTTTTGTGAGAGGATACATAAATATCACCTGCTTGCGAACACGCCTGTTGCCAACGTGAAAACCATGAGAATAATGAGAAGATGCATGCACATATGATAAACATGTAGAAAAAGATGACCGGGATAAAAATGACAGGAACAATAACAATATTGTTCGTTTGTTTTATCATACACGAATGAGTTTTTTGTTTCTGTGCATTATCAATTTTTCAACTAGGTGGAGAATAGATTCGTAGAGCAAGACAGGAAACTGTGTTAACTTTTTTCCTCCAGCGATTTTAAACACTTATGTAACGTCTGAAAAGTCCGATCGCAAAATGGCTCACTAACAGTATGATCGGATAGTGCTACTATGAAAAAGGAATATTTTCATCTGTTCTCCGACCCCACCGCTCGCCCGGTCATATTCTTCGGCAACTCAAGAGTGGATTCTCCGCACAAGATAACGCGCTACTATTTGTGAGTTGCGTATTTGGTAATGATTCGATGGAGAATTCGTTGTCCCATCGAATTCAGATTAGTCGGCTTCGCTGGTTAGGACACGTATTGCGCATGCTCAGCCATCGTCTGCCGCACCTTATTCCGCGCCTTATTCGCAGTTACGGCTCCAGATTGGAAGAAACCGCGTGGTGGTCAACAGATGACGTGGAAACGAGGCATGAAGAAATGCACAGAGCGAATAGGTAGAATCGGTGTCTCCTGTCCTCCTGGTTGGTGTCCGAAAGACTCTACAACTGGTTGGCTGGAGACATTTAAGGATATGGCGACTAACCGATAGAGGTGGCGCTCTTGTTGTCATTTCTTAACAAGGCAGAATGCTTGAAAAAAGATATGCATGAACACTTAGATTGTGTGCTCTATGTGTTGAACATAGAGGCTATTTTTATTTGCCCCCCTTCAAGTAGGCTCAATCCCTCTCCCCTCTTGTGCTTTATCACTTGATTTGTGTACATTGTGAGTTTGGCAGCGACCAGTGATGCTCGCTTCACTGTATCTCGCTGTACGAGGATGATGATGATGAATCCAGAATGCCCTTAGCGGAATGTAGTATAGCGAATTTCTTTGATTACTACCAAACTCAAAGCGTACAATGTGAACAAGGATTACGCCTGTTTTGAGGGAGGAAGGGAGAGAGAAAAGAAGCAAACCTCTTTGGTCAGCACACAAAGTACACAATCGAACTGTGCATTCACACTTTTTCACTCAATCTGGCCGGAGAAAAAAAGGAAACAAGAACGCCTCTGCTATCTGCTCGCTGCCGTGTATTTCGATGTTTCCAATCAACCTGTTATTGTATCGTTTTAAACCCCTGTCTGGAAGGCAAGATACACCCACGCTACCTAAACGCTTCTTTCACTGTTTTATACCTTCTCTCCATGTGATTTTCTGCAACCCGGAGCGGTAGCCGCAAATAAGGTGCTGCATGGTAGACGGTCCTAGCCACGGAAGCCTGCTAATCCGAATTCAGCGTAATAACTAAGTTTCCACCGACTCATTCCCGAATACTTGTCAGTTTGCCTCAGTGTTGGTCACCCGCTGACCGCATCCCACGTGCATCAGACTACTTAAAACATCGATCATCGAAAAACCCTGGCAGATGTGTGCTTTCCGCTAGCGGTTCAAGGTCTCACGACCTGAGAGTACGACGGGCCGAACGGCAGCATAATACACAACCTTTTAACTCAAATAAAACCTCATGTTAAAACCAAAGGTATTTCAGTCTTACGTACACTGCTCGATCTTTAGAAGTGCTTGCGGCTATATCCTTCTCTGCGCTACCGTCAGTAGTCGTGCAACTGCATAAGTAGGAGAAAAAATCCACTACACTTAGTTTTATACCTTCAAGCATCATAGTTGGAGTAGATGAAACCTAATCCTACAGCATCACTTTCCTCGTTTAAAAGGGCAAGGTGCATATTGAGCGGAGTAAAGAAACTGATGCCTCTGTCAGATGGGCTTCGCTCTTCCTCCATAGATTCGCGTAGACAAATGATGTTATAAATGAAGTCATCATTAGTGATCAGAACCGTCAAGACCGACACGAGGAACTTGTGTCTGCTGATATCAATGAAACTGCACCTGTATATTCATTTGTGTTTATCTGCCTGCGGAGCCAACTGATGGCTTCCTTTCCCTATCCACTCCCTTTGGAAAGATCATTCCGGAGACTAAATGAGGGGCGGCGCAGCTTACCGGTCCAGAAACCCCTCACTGGATGGGCATTGGAGCCAGGTACATCTGGCTTCCTTTCAACACTGGAATAAGTTTTCACAGATCATTTAACAGATACCATCCGCCCAAACTGGGTAGCCCCTAGCCAATAAGATGCTGTCCCGTCCATGCTCCACCTGTCTCATTGGGTACGTAAGAATAAGGGCCGATACTGAACGACGGATCGACAACTAAACCGAAACCAAAAGGTCTTTTGTAATAAGTCTTTATTAGGTCCAACTTGGATGTTTCGATCACGCTCACGTGTCGCATCTACCTCGCACCGCCTAGTAGGTCGGAATTTAGAGTTGAAAGTACCGGTTAGAGTTCTTGGAGACCCCCCCCCCCTTCGTCGATGTGGGCTACCCATTTGGAATGTCCTCCTTCCCATCTAAATGATTCTTTCTCCCACTCACGAACCATACGAAATGACTCGCCTTTACACCATCCATGAAATATCATTCAGTGTTTAACTGGCAAGATCAACCAATTAGAAGCGATTAGATTGATGAAACCAAAATCTCTTCTTCACTTAGTCGCATTCAATGTCAGCTTAAACTACCAGATTGGCCAGCATGCTATATTAGCTAGAGTTTGGTGGGGCAATCGGACAACCAATACTGAGGTTCAGCGCAGCTTTAGTTAGGTAATAACAACCACCCACTGGGGTAACTGATCGACCTCCATAGATCAGGTTGGTTAGAGCATGTGTTATACTTCTCACTGAATAGGCTAACCACGGTGCGCCATGTTTGCGGAAGCATATAGCTGAAAGAAAAAAGTCAAAGATTGTCAAACTAAGACTCGGTTATATAGGTTGCGTTGTCTCCTGGATGACGACTTCCGGACCAGTGTAAACGTTGGGTGAGTGTCGTAAACAGTGATGCTCAATTATCTACTACATGACTGTTCAACTTTAGTCCAGATGAATTCTCTATTGTCATCTGGACACTGCCCTAAGTATTCCAATCCTCCGTCTACTCCTTCATCCAAGTGGACAACAACCAAAATCGCCGCTCGAAGGAGAATGGTCGATGGCTGCTGTCAAACATAGTCTTAAAACTGACTCTTCAAGCAAGAGATAGTCGCATGAAAGAGCGGGGCATTCATGATAATCTGGTTGATACTTTTACTGTTAAAGGGTTCATAAGTAGTCCGGTTGGAAGGCGGAGGTAGTGATCAATATATAGACTGCAACAAAAAAATAAAGATAGTGATGCAGTGGTCAAGAGACGGGTTACGATACATAAATTGTATGTTATGGATTCGCCGTTGGTTGCGTAAATAGTCTTAAGTTGTATTCAGTTGAGATGAGTAAAGCGCCATTTCCTACCCCAGTTTCAGCGTTTACAATCAATAGCTTTACACTGTGGTGCAACAGTTTTGTGGCTGTCTTTCGACTATTCATTTGATCAGAATTGTATAGCTGATCAACTAGCATTACTGAAAGTAACAGTGGCTTACGGTAGTACGTGATGTTACGCGGTTATTTGTTTTCCTTCGTCTTGCTTTATCCACGTGCCACGTTTTCGGAGCACAGGGTAGAATTCGTTATTTTGTCTGGTTTTTCTATAGCCCCAAACCGTTTTCATTTACCGAGTGATTGAAATTTTGAGTTATCGTGTCAAACGTAGCCGACTGCGATAGTGTTCGCAACCGTCATCAAGTATGCAATGTATTCCTAACTACAGTGTTATGTGACCTATATTGACAATTCGTTCGTGTTTCTGTTCATTAATCTTGGAACTGCCTATCGCAGTTTAGTTTGGACTCTATCAGTCGTCAGAATGTGACCATTTCCACGGATACTCTGCGCTTGTGCGGTCGAGCACATTTTGATCGCCTGGCAGCAGAGGCGTTGGATGTATGTCAAACCTGTCCTCCGAGTGCTGTGCTTCAGTCCCCGGAATTGCTCACTCACGTTCGACAATACCTCCGAGCAAACCTACCCGATTATCAAGCACCGAATCGGTACGTTAATGCATTTCAATCCAAGGATCTATCAGGTCAACCGCTTACATTCTGACCATTCGCCTGTTATCAATGCGCTCCTCCTTGACCGCTTGTTCACCTGATTTCATAGATGTGATTAACATTTTAACATTATTATCACATCAGTTTCTGTTCACCGTTAGCGAAATGTGGCACTCAAACTTACAAAGTAATGATGAGTAAAATGTTATAGATGCGGTGCACTTGATCGCACACCGCGTTTTCGTCTTCACTCACTGTTTGTTAGAAGGTTTTGATAATTTGGAAAGCAATAGACCTGACGAAGTGAATAAGTCAAATGCGTGTTTACTGTAATGTGACTGGAGCACAATCGCGTTAGGTCGCAATTCGCATTGTTGTGAGGACATTGCTTAACCTGGGTCAGATTCCCAGTGGACAGTATGGACGCCAAGATCTACAGTAGTAAGAATAATGATTAGAAATATAGGATGATGTGCTGAAGTATCGGAAACAGCGACAGTTGTGTATCTGCTCACTTTCGTTTCGCCTGCATTGTATACGTTTCAACTGCTATCCTAATTTGAACATGAATGAAATTTAATTTCACGCACATCCTACCTTTTATTTATTTATTCTGGTATCTGTTTTTCTTAAATCAGCCCTACAGTTGATGAAGACATCCGTCTTGCGAATCAGTTATGTGCACTTCGTGGTCGAATCTCTTGCCTGTCGGATTTGGTAGACCCTAAGCAAGGCTTTGCGTTCCTATGGCACCCGATTGATTTCGATATCTGTTTGGAGAAACTAAAAGCGACAGTCTTTAAGACTGCCAAACCGACTACTGTGACTCAGTTCCTGGCACTGCTGGCTGAGGATCTCGATTCAATTTCTAGACTGACTCTGGAAGGTACCGACTCGCAACCGGAGACAGCTGTCGCTCACGTAATTGATTCCCGTTGCACCGAATTGGGCTTGAAGCGACCAATTGCGATGCATGCAATCCGGATCTGCCTTACCGGTTTTGAGGTGAGTCTGGCTCGTAGTGATCAATAGTCCACTCGTCCACAATGTTTTGTAGCTCATTGATATGTGCCAGTTAGAATTTTTCACCGTTCTGATTAAGCCGTGTTTTAATACATTCAAAAACCGTGGAGAAATACGAATGGCACCGACAAAAATGAGTGTCGTAAGGAGCTTTGATTTTCGTTTCCAGTTCAATGATGCCGCTGTATGTACTATCGTTAAACGGGAAACTGGACTATGAACATCATTACTGCAACAGTAATCATTTTCTTATGCAAGAAATAAATCTTAGAACCTGATAATTCTTCTGCCCTTTTTTTTAGAAATAGTAATATTTGAGGCTAGGAAAAACTTCCCCTGTTTGGTGGAACGTTGTTGGTTTGACATCAACCAGTTACTTAGTTAGCTCTTGGGTACTTTCATCTTGGTTGTCGTTCTTGAGCGTTTTTTTTTCTTTCGGGAAACAATAATTGAGGGTATCCAACACGAAATATAAAGATAGTGATAAGGGCCGACAGTAAACATACCATGCTGTGGACACTGGGGGATTTACCCCCCAACCTGAAAAATGTTTCCCATCGCCGGTATGACGAACTTCTTGAATGCCAACTGAAGAACCTTACTAAGCTATGGAAACTGCTTCTGTTTTCACACCTCTAGCCAATTCGTGAATTATCTTCTATATTACGTATGCAGTAAACTCCCTAACACAATACATAGTGGAATTGCTTTACTGGAAGAACTGTATCATGGTAATGAAAATATTTTTTCATTCACTGTGTGTTGGATATACAGATTGACGGAAAATTTATCCGGAAGGATAGTCAAATGCTGTTTGTGAAAATAAAGAATTGTGCCGGGCACATTAATCATTACCACGGGGTGCATTCGTCCGCACACCGTGAATTCCGTCACATTTCACCTCGTATACACGGATTCCCTTACTTAGCACGTGTATACATCTACACGTCTTAACCTGGGTCAATAAGTTCTATTCTGTTATCGTTGTCGTGTGTTTAAAGGTGGCTGTTGGCGCGTGAAACCTATTTGACTGGAATGTAAGTTTGTGTTTGCACAATTTTAAAGCCAGACTATTGATCGCAACTGTTGCATTTGTGTCATCACTTTCCTGTCCCTTTTGCAGGTTGGTCTTCCAATAACGGATCTTGTCAATCTGCTGACCATAAAACTAACCGCAGAGCGTCTACGAATTGCTGGAAAGAAGATGTGCGCACGACGAGATGTTCCGGGTATTGGTGGATAGAATGCGTTCTCTGTCGTTTTTTTCTTGTACATAGAATTTTACTGATCACTGAAATTATTTTTTAAAGTCAAAGTCAGTGTTTGATTATGGGAAAACAGTTATAAACAGTTGCTTTTCTTGTCCCATAGGGTTCAGCACCAAATTGTTCGACTTGCGGTTCATAGAAAGATAAGGAATTTCACAAATTTTCTTTGTTTCGTGCACTGCTACGGATGTCGGAATTTAGGACATGATAGTCATTCATCCAATTTGTGCTTGAAACAATCAATTGTAGTCGCAGAAACAGTCTGAAATGATAGAGAATTCCGAATACGGCACACTCTGAGCACAAATGGATAACGATTGTGGTTAGCATTGGATGTGGTGTATCCTCGAGTAACAGATGTAGTCGTAGTCCGATGCTGGCGGGTGCAGGTAAAACTTGAGCGTACTGACATTTTAACATTT